AAATTTTGAATCTGAGCATTTACTAGGAAATTGCTAGGAAAAGTAGGTACAGAACATGTGTTTTATTTAAATTCGATATTTCCTATCTATTTCCTCCTAATTTCGTAGTAAGCAACTATTTCCTCCTAATTTCGTAGTAATATTTTACTACGTCTTTACGAGGAAAGTGTTTACTACGGCATTACGAGGAAAAGTACTTTTTCCTCGTAAGCTCCTCGTAAATTTACTAAGGTCTTACGAGGAAATTGTTTCCTCAAGTTTTCGAGGAGCTTACGAGGAAATTTGCTTTCCTCGTAAGATCCTAGTAAAGGCTTAGTAAATTTACGAGGAAGAATTTTCCTAGTAAAATTTCCTAGTAAATGCTTTGTTTTCTTGTAGTGTATCAAGATTATTTGTATGAACTTTTTTAATGAAAACACATTATATACAAATATTTTTTCACCTAAGAAGATATAGATATAAAGTATTTTATTACTTAAAAGTATAATTTATGTTATTTAAAAATATATTTAAGTTAAATATTACTATTTTGTAAACTTTCTTTTTTTATGAAACCGTATTATATATATACTTATTTTTCGTTTTAAATAGTTTTGTAAATTTTATAAATATTTCCTTTTTATTTTATATTGTTAGTTGGAAGATTTTAAAAAGGAAATAATAATATTTAAATATATTTTTAATTCATTAGAGATATCATAGTAATCAACCAGCATGAGAGTTAACGTGAGCGCGACACCTAAGAAAGTGTCTTTTCAAATAATATTATTGAGATCTTTACATGCCAAAATATTCTCAAAGAAGTATAGATTTCAAGAAAACATAAAGAGACAACAATGAAGAGTTTTATAATGTGTTGTTGCAAAAAACGTAAAAGAATACAATGTAGTTTCACGATGTCATTGATAAAATGATTCATCATCATCACCATCTCCATCACAATCACTCATCAGACTATCATTGCCTTCGAGCAGCTCTTGACGCCATAGCTCGAAGGTTAGCTTTTGCTCTCGACAGAGAAACAGCCGTTGATGATGAAGAAGACGTTGCCCCAGCCGCAGTAACTCCAAACGCATACGCTAACTCCAAACAGCCGCTGTAACCGCAACGCAAACCCTGCATCTCTATCTTGATCTAACCTCACACCCGTCCCTCTCCTCCTCTCGCTTCTCTCTTCAGACAAGTAATCTCGAAATATCCTCTCTCTGCAACCTAGCTTGCAACGTAGTTTCTCTGTTCCTGCTTCTCATCCTCTGATTAGAGTTTCTAAGACTCGGCGTTTCCTTGGTTAGAAAGTTAGAAGAAGCAGTAGCTCTCTGTGCTTCAACTTCTATAGGGAACAGAAGCTGGATTGTGTACCAAAGAACCGTATTAACCGTACAATACTTTCCATTTCTGCATAGATATATAACATTGTTAAATAAAGTGCGAATCTTTCAATCTCAAACTCACGGAGTTTGATTCTGTTTACCCTATTAGTTGCTTGCATTTAGGGCATTTCCTTCCACATTTATCCACTGCTGACCGCAAGCACTTCTTGCAGAAGTTACACATGCCCAAAAGAGAACAAATCAATAACAAAGTCACTGTACAAAGACAGTTCTGTGGTGTTGTGTATTTAAATGAGATCTACCTTTGTCCACAAGTTGTAGTATTAGGTACAAAGCAATTTCAAGACAAATTTGTAGAATCAAGAAGCAGGAATTTCAAGTTTAAGATCCGTAATCAAGGAATTAGCAAAAAAAAGTCTCAAGATTCAGATTCATACTGCACAAGACAACTCGTCACGAAGCTTATCAATGCAAGGAAGCACAACAGAAGTTGAGTTCTTCAGCTCTTGCGACATCTTCTCATCCTTCTCTGCTCTCTTCTCTTCTTTTGTTCCTGTTTTTGTCTCCTTGTTCTTTCTGTTCTACTTCTCAGCAGATCTTTCCTCTGAAACCAAAACAGAGCATAAAAATTCAATCTTTATCACTAATTTGATGGATCCTAATGTTTCAAACACAAAATAAATAATGGCAAGTACCTTCACGTCGAATTACTTCTTCAATACCAACAACAGGTAACGGATTAATAGAACTCTGTTTAATCCTTTGCCTCCTGTAATCCAAAAATAAAAATCGAAATTTTAAGAGAAAAAAGAAACAGAGGGTGTATTGATTTACCGTATTCTGAAGATTCCTTTGGCAACTTACCAAATACAGAATAAAAGAGAGACTGAAAACATAGATAGGATTGTGAAGCAGAAAACTTTTGCAGCCACAAACACTCACCAGTAAATTAAGATTGCGAAGAAATTCTGAAGGCTGTAATTAGCTCCTGGTTTGAGTTGAGGCTCATATAGTGGAGAACGATTAGAACAGAGAGTGGGTTAGAGGTATTTGAAAAACGGAAGAGAAGAAGTTGAATCTGAGGAAGTCGAAAGGTGAGAGACTACATATACTTTCTCGATTTCTCTGGTAAAACTAAACCGGATTCGGAAAAGTAAACAAAGGGATTTTAATTTCGGTCAGAAAACCAACCCGGGTTTATTAAGCTATAACCAAAACTGATGTGGCTAGTTGAATGCCTATTAAGAGGTTCACGGCCCAAAACCGGATGAGCCCACCAACTGAGAAATTAGAGGAAATTGTACTTTAAGAGCTTGTTTAGCTAACAAACAGCCTCTCTGTTCTGAGAACGAGAGAGGTACTAAAAAAAATAAAGACAAAATGAAAGGAGAGACTGTTGATATCCTGAAAAAACACCATAGATCTATGTGATCTGATTTTTGTTGATGATTGCTCTGATGAGCGTTGCACAATCGGAGAAGAGGATGACCAATGAGAGCCCTAAATCCATCGCCTTTCTCAAGGCTTTGCATAGAGCTAGGTCTTCCGCCATGAGAGGAAAACTTACTTTTTCGACTACTTAGGATCTTGAGAGAGGATGTCTCATCACGACACTAGAGATTCTCCATGCAACTCCTGGTCGAAGCGAAACTGCATCTCAAGCGGCGTCTACGAAGATCGATGTCACTTATATGAGGCTATATGTCTTATCTTCAAATATTAATTTGTTTCTTGCTGTCCACAGGAACCAGCAGATCCATGGGAGAATTGAGCATCGAATCCCTGTAGATGGGAGACAGATAAATTTTCTGAAGAGAACCGTTGATTCCTTGAAATCTAAATCATTAGCTATGTGAATTGAATGGTGCAGCGCTATAAAGCGCCAGACTACCTTAGTGAATGGGCATTGGAAGAATACATGCATTGCTGATTCGGTTTCCTTACATCGGGGACATAGAGCAGCTGAAATCATTCCTCTTCACTGCAGCTCTTCTCCTATCAGTAAAAACCTTGGATAATCGACCAAAACAAAAGCTTAAGTTTTGGGGCTATTTAAACATTACAAACACCTTTTAACCAGCTGAATTCCAGGTCAGTAGAGGGAGCTAATGAAGCTGGCTGGGGGGGCTAAAATTCTCTTGCTCTGAGCTTTTGAGCTGTAACCAGATTTTGTAGAATAAATTCCAGACTGAATAGGGAGCCATACAACAATGTCTTCAGCCCCTTCTCTGCTCGGTTGTATACACTGTATATGTGCGCTGAAGTCTGGTAAGAGTTTGTTTATTCTACTCTTATTCCATTGTAGGTCATCCGTAAGGAGATCTTAAACTCTGAGATCCAAAGCTGATTCATGAATTGGACCAAACGGTTTTAACTGAATGGAGCTTGAGATCCAGTTATCGTTCAAGACTTTTCTGTTATGGCCGTTTCCAATGGCCTTTCCTAGTTTTTCCTGAAGTAGATCTCTGCCGTGAAGGATGCTCCTCCATCCATGAGAACATACAACATGACCTTGGGCATCAAGGAAGCTCTTCTTATGGCAATATTTTCCTAGGAGGACTCATGCAAGCAGGCAACTAGCACAGGTTAAAATTCTCCATTAGGGGTGGGCACAAGCCGAGTACTCGATATTTTTAGTATACTTAGTACTCGGCTTGACTTGTACGAGTAGTAAATATTTTGACTTGTACTTGGTTTACAAAAAACAAGAACTTGCAGTTTCAAGTACTTGCTGAAAATTGACGGACTTGTAAGTTACTTGACTTATTTTATTACTTGTTACTTGTAAATTACTTATAATTTCATTCATAATTATTGGTAAACTATTTGATAATTCGTTAGAATTTAAAGTTAAATAAATTTATTATATAAATAATATATCATTGTTTTCTTTTATTTAAGTCATTCGGAAAATGGACTATATAAGAAAGAGAAAACTTCAAGATGTTTATATAAATATAACACTTATGTTTGTTGTACTTATGAAAATGAGAATAGAAATGAGTTATTTTACTATGATTTAGAAAAATATATCTTTGTTCATTAACAAATACAAGTAACAAACAAAACAATGTCAAGTAATTAATTTATTTAATATTTACTTTATGCTTATAGTTATAGGTAATTTAAATAGATTACTTGATACTTAACTTGTTCATAAAAATACTTATTTTTAAAGATCATGTATCCATTAAATATCGAATAAGAGGCAAATAACGAATTATTATGGTCACCAACAAAATGTAATACATATATTTTAATTAACTAATAAAATGGATATCAAGTATTAAATGAACCAATTAATATATAACAAATAATGAGACAAATAAATGATAACAAGTAACAAACCAAGTAACAAGTCAAGTAGTTGAAAATAAAAATGAATTTGATACTTGACTTGTACTTGCGAGTAATAAAATTCGTTTACTTACTACTCGACTTGATTGTAACAAGTACTTATTTTTTCAAACCAAACCGAATCAAGTAGCGAGTACAAGCCGAGTATCAAGTATTTGTGTCCAGCCCTTTTCTCCATGCACTCTTGGCTAGAAGTGCTTAATTAAAGATTTGAGTATCTTTTAAACCTAATCCATCTGCTGCTTTAGGCTTTGTTAGCTTATTCCAGGCCACCCAACACATACTTTGTTTGTCTGTAGATTTGTCCCACCAAAATCTAGTGAGCATGGACTGAATTCTAGTGAGCATGGACTGAATTCTATTACACAGGCTGATTGGTAGTTGGAAACACGACATAGCATAGGTGGGAATGGCCGTGAGAACTGCTTTAAGCATAGTGAGCCTTCCTGCCCTTGAAAGGAAGCATGTAGACCAATTTGAAGCTCTTTATCGGATCCTGTCTGAGAATTTTCTCACCGAGACTTCACTTGTAGAATCCACTTTATAACATTAGATGTCTCGGCATATTTCCTATTTTGACGAACTTACACCTTAATATATAGGGAAGTTTACTCAAATATAACAAATTTAAGGACAACTGACTACAACCATACAAATCTTTTTTTTATTACTGGCATTTTTAAAATACCAAGCGTGCCCCATGTTATAAGAAAAAACATATTTACAAGAATGCCATTACTTTTCGCTGCCACGCAAGCAAAAACCCGGTGAATTCGGTTCTACATACGTCGTTATGGCTGCTTTATTGCTACGCTTCGGCTGAACTAATTAAAGCGTCTGACTTAAGAGAAAATGGCTGACTCAAGACCATACGTCAGCCGCCCGGTATGGCTGATTTACATAAAGCTGGCTGATTATGGGATAATGACTGACTTACGTACACAAGTTACAACTGACTTATACATCGGCGGTTTGATTTCTGGAAAATTTGGCTGAGTTGTAGTAACGACAAAATAAGTTAATAAACATCAAACGGCTGAGTTATTGAAATTGCGGCCGACTAATGGGATGTTGTGACGACTGGGTTTATATTAATCAGCCGTAGTTTGATGGATTAACAGTAAACTCAGCTTGTTTACGGCTGAGTTATTAGAGAAAGATTAATTACTAGAATAGATTCGGTTGACGACTGATTTATGTGGTGATACGGCTGATGTATGGTTTTTGAATATAATTACGGCTAGTTTTTTAGCACAAGATTAATTACTGGAATGTATCCACGATTCGACTGACTTACTGATTAACTGATTTTCCATGTCATCCGCCAGATCATTAACATGGATTTGCAATGTCATCACTAATGGACAAAATTTACAACTTGTGCTTACGCGACTGTTCATGTTCTTCTTCATATTAGCTAGAGTCCTTATTAGTTATCTATCGTCTTCATCTTTCTCAGTTGATTATGGATCTGGTAATTATTGTTTCCGGTAACTTGATTAAGAAAAAGAGATATGTATTCAACATCGATAGTAGAGGGTGTAGAGTTCTTCATTTAGATGAGAAAACAATACATGCAGATTTCGCAAAGTCTTTCCTCGATGATTACGGATTGAATGATTTGAGGGATCATATTCACTTAGCTACATGTTCTCGAATAAAGCATTGAAAACAATGGCGTACGACACTCCACCAGTTTATGTGATCAATACTCGACAATTGCAAAGCTTTCTAAGCCTAAAGAAAGTCGAACAGCTATGTCTCTGTGTAGAGATTACAGAGAATAAGGATGACAGAGCAAGAGAGAAGAAGTAAAATAAGTATTAGTTTTAGATCAGAAGTAGAAACTTCAGAAGTTGAGTCCAGAGACGAAATTTACAGTGCGAGTTATGATGGTTTCAGTTTGGAGAAAAAACAAGAGGACAATGATAATGACTGCTCTAGTACGGTGGAAGGAGAAAAACACGACGAAGTCGGAGAAGAGGAAGTCGGAGAAGATGAAATAGTCAATGATAACGAAGAAGATGATAAATTTGAAAGCCGATTTGATATGTTCGACGACTCGGCCGGTGCATCATCTAAAGATGATAACTTCAGCTCATACAGTGAGTCTCCTTCAGAAGACGAAGATTCACCAACGCTACCTCCCAAAATGAGATATCAAAACTTCTCTATGAGCGGATCTAAAGAGAATCTGGAGGTTCTAAGCTTGTAGATGTCGTCAATAAACCTTGCGGTTGGGCAACGATACGAGAGTAAAGATGCTTTGGAGAGACGACTGAAACTTCTTACAGTGAGGCATCAATTTGATTTTGATGTATAAATTTCAACTCCGACATCATATGTTGTTAAGTGCTGGGTTGATGGATGGCTATGGAGAGTTCATGCTTCTACCCAAGGGGAATCTCCGGCGTTTTATGTTCATATTTACGATACAGATCATACATGTTCTGTACTTGAATGTCATAATCGATCCCGACAAGCAACACCGGATATTTTAGGTGAGTTGTACAAGAATTTTCCCGGCGACGTTGGTCCGGCCGTTTGCCCTACAAATGTCGAAATAGCTATCTCTAAGCAGTTTGGTGTAAAGATAATTGCTTTGTTGTGGCTGGTTTATGTTAACGATATACATTGTGGCTGGGTTATTATAATGTTAGATGAGACTGAGTTATAGTAAAGATAGGGTTGAGTTATTT